GGTCCTGGACCCTTAGGGTGTGTAAAGGCTTCCAGCCCCCCGACAGGAAGGTGATGGTACGAAGGTCAGCCGGTGCAGCTAAACCCCAAACCCAGTGAAGCCGGACCCCTCAAAATCCTCAAGAAAGAAAACACACCTGCACCTTGAAGGGATGGTTAATCCTAGGGCTCCAACCATATCCTCAGAAGGTGGTTAGACCCCCATGGCACCCACCCCAACCATCTTCTCAGGAGGTAGTAGGAGGTGTAGGGAATGGACACCCCTTGATCTCATTTCGGGGGCGATGAATGGACACCCTTTCCGTGATGCTGGAAGTCGTCAATGCCTTTCCGAAGAACACCAAGTCTTCGTGCTGACCCCGAAACGCGAAGCGGTGCCCGCCATCTGCACCTGCTGGCACACAGGCGCGGCCTCTGCAGGGAGCTCCGGCGACGTCCTGGGATTTCTGCAGTCGTGGTCTCTGTGGTGTCGCCCGGAGGGAACCGAAGAACCTCCCTTTTTTTGGGGCCAACGGAGCTCACCAAAAAGGGTTCAATCTATCTGTGTCACACATCTCGCGCACGGGTCCAGTATTGGGTGGGCATTTGTTGAGGTTGAACGAATTGTCACAAAAGAGTTCGTTTGGTTTTGCTGTGTACGATCATGACCTGTTGAAGTTTTGGCTCTGTTAAATACTCCAAGTCACTTCAGTTTTTTTTTTAAACTCTCCAAACCGCAAGGGGTGTAGATAAAATATGACTTGACATCTTGCCCTGGCACCTGTTCTTCCGAAAGTCAGTCTGCCATGTCTCAAAGGATCTCAAAAGTGGCAAGCCAACGATTTTGGTCGTCGACATGACTGAAGCAAGTGGCAGTTGTCATTCTAAAGTTGACAGTTGTCATGGAGTCGATCAGCCAATCGTTCACAGTCGCCCCTGCGGCCCGACTTCCACCAAGCCACTGCGTCGCCACGCGCCAAATCAACGCACCCGCGCCATCCGTCGGTGTCCTGGAGGAAGAAAGTGGTACAGGGTGAAAAGCTGAGTGGTGGTTTTAACCCCTCCCAAACATTCCCAAACATATTATACATATTGTTTTGTCACCTGGGGTAAAATCAATATTGAAATTGGGCAACTGGGGTATAGTGAACTGGGGCATAGTCATTCCCAAACATGGAGTTTGAAACAATGTAAGTCCGCCGACCCCACTCGGGATCCAGTGGCCGGTGTCGTAGGCTTAGCACGGGTGGGGTACGGCGTGACTGTTGATAAAAAGACCGGGAACGGATAAGTAATCGCTTCCGGATCATATAAGTAATCGCTTCCGGATCATACCTCCCCTACCCCTCCGGAGCTTGGCTTAAGTGACGAAAAGGGCACAAAATTAGCCAAGAATTGTCCAAGATTTGTGCAAGATTTCTCCAAATGTATTGGTTTGCTTCTTACTGGGGATTGGGGCACCCTCTCCACCCGTGGGGGAAAATAAGCACGGTCCCTAAATCGTCCTGGGCTCGAATCCCAGCCTGGTTGCGGCCTGGTTCCTGCCAGTGCCCTTGGTTTTTCCTAGATTTTGTAACGTTTTCCGCTGGATTTCTAGGGTTTTCAAAGGTTGTTGTAAGATTTACTCATGCCTTTTTCCAGGATTTTCAATGGTTTTTCTAGGAAGTTCTGTGGATTCCTGAGATTTCCAACTCTTTTCTCTAAGGTGTTTTCTAGGGTTTTCTAGGAGTTTCTCCTCTATGCGCTCCGCACGTGCAAGCTTTTTCTGCTCTTTTCTAGTGCCGTGCTGGCATTCTGCAAGAGTGCCGGTGGAGGCGACCTGGCAGGGGTCCTGTGTCCAGGGGCTCCGTGTCGTTTTTTGGGTTCCCAGATTTTGGGAAAATGCTAAACCATTTGCCGTGCTCTCTTCTGGCTACTTTGGTGATGCAGTGACAGATCATGTCTCTAGGGGTTCCGTGTTTTTCCCGAAAGCATTGCGAAGGGTTCTTCCGGAAAATCCTTTGAACACTGACACTTCGACACGTACACTTAGACACACCTAGACATTGACACTTTCACCACGCACCTAGACATTGACACTTTCAACCACACTGGCAGGATAAATAACATGAACGCTATACGTAGCCCTGTGTAAGTGGAAGAGCGAAAGCTGTGAAAGTATGCAAGTGTAAGTAAGCAAGTGATGAGTATGCATGCAATGATGAGTATGCATGCAATGAGTATTGCAAGCATGCAATGAGTAGGCAAGTGAAAAAGTATGGAAAACTAGCACGGGAGATGTCCTAATGAAAAAACATTTCCCCACTTTATAAATTCTCTTTTCAAGGCGGAGGGCGGGACGAACAGCGTC